GCCTACAAAAGAACCTAACTTGTACAGTTGCCATAGGATCAGACTTTTTATTCCCTCTTAAAACTATCCTACATACTGTACTGAAACACGTCAAAGAGTAGCCTACTGAGTATTGACCTACACAGACCCAGATAAGCGCAAGCAAACAGGAAATGCAGCACACTGTTTCAAATTACAATTACAGTATATAGTTTAAGAGTTCTGTTCAAAAAACAGTTTTCTGATAACAATTTGCTTAGAGAAATTCACACAGACTTTTAAACGTATCTTTTATAAAGCAGAGTTCATTGTACAAGAAAGTACAGTACAACATTAGTTACATTTATATTTAAAGTTTTTAAATACAAAATTTCAAATGCAAATTTTTGTTTGATCTTATTAATGTATTTGCCTGAACAAGAATTGCTCTTTTAAATTGGACAGTTAAAAAGAATCAAAAGAAATAATTTTACTTTACATGTCCCTTATCTGTTTATCATTTGCATATTACATTTTTTATTATTTTATTTTGTTTTTTTGCTCCCATTTTTGGGAAATTGAAGATCTTAGTTGTTGAATCAAATCTTACACAATTAGCTTAGAAAATTAACTTTAATCTCTTGTTGTTAGCAAATTAAACATAGAAAGTAGCTGAAACAATGCTAATAGTATATCAGTATGTATACTTCTTAACCTTAATTTTGTCTGGTGTTCCATTCTAACTTACTACTAAATTCCCACTTCTACTAAATTTTTGCTTATATTAGATGTCTTCCCACAATGAGACATGAGCCTCTAAAAGATGAATTGTTATGACTGCATGTTTGTGTACTGCAGAATTATCATATCTGTAAACATATTGCAACCATTTCTGGGTGTGAGGTAAGCTGAAATATGAAAATCCAATATGGAACAAAGTTTATACATATATCTTGAGAGTTAGAAGGTTATGCATAAGAATATACTTGCTTGCTTATAACAAACCAGCCCTCTGTGCCTTATAGTTTCTTATAGGAAATTGACCATGGGATTTGGAGTGTTTCAGATAAATGACCCTGTTTGGCTCCCCTATTAGAAAACTTCTATCTTTCCCCCTCTACAGATTTAACTGTTTTCCAAAAGACAGCCTAGTTCTGAGTTGGCTGGATTTCTTGAAATGCAAACAATGCTCCCAGAGGGAAGCTTATTTGTTTTTTCAAACAGTCCTAGCGGATCCTTCATTACTGGGTGGAGTAAGTTGAAAGAGGAGCATTATAAGGAGATGAAACACATCCAAATATTATGGGAAAACAAATTATCAGAACTCCATGTATCTCCCAAGACCTTGCTTTGATCCAATGTTTATACAGACCTTCGGGGAAAACAACATCCTTTGCAGCCCCTTCAGTTCAAGCCCTTACTAATCCACCAGAGTTTTGTGCTTTACTAATAGCTATCATCTTCCTCTAAACATATACTTGAAATAATTAGCTACTTGTTTTTGAAAATGTGTGATGATTTTACAACAGTTTCTCCAAATCTGGTGCCTTTCATTTACATTGGACCAACAGATTGGGACTAAGGATCCTTAAGCTCAACACATCTGCTAGGTGGCAGAGATTTAGGGAAGGCAAAAGAAAGCATTCGTGTTTTTATTGGCAAGCTGTAAAATATAACTTGGAAGACTGAAGAAGCCCAAGAGATCCCTAACCCACCTGATTTTAATTTATTTTTAGATCGTAAGGAAAAAAGGGGGACAGGGCAGCTGAAATGCTGAGTACCGGCCTCCACCATCATTTGTACCACAGGAATGCCACTGAGTCCACATAAGCCTCACATGTATTCTTGGGAAATAAACGTTGGAGGTAGAAGTATGTAGCTGTCAAGAAAAAAAAATGATAAAGGAAAACTGAGATAAGAGAAAGTACGATGAGAAGCTGAAGTGTAGTGAAAGAATTTCAACAGCTTGTCTTCTAGTGCTGTGTGAATGATGATGACAACAATGACAGCCATTTGGTAAATAGGCAAACACCCACCAGGCCATTCCACAACCATGATTTCAGGTTCAGGAAAGCAAGCAAAATATTTGCCTACATGGAGGAGGCCATAATGACCTGCTAAGGAGTTGCTTTAATAAGAGGTGATTGGATAATTGATGCGTTTTGATGCGTTTTTTGTTTCATATTTCCCACATGCTGTCAGCTAATAGAAATACAAAACCTTTGTATACCTGGTCATGATATGGTATGCAGATACACACCTATGGAACCTATGATTTACAATAATTGTTTTTAACATGGGGCCATGAGAGCAATCACAACTCATTGTTTCAGTCCAACCATGTAGGTAAAATAACCTGTAGAAGCAGATGACTTCAGACATTTTCTGAAGCTGCTGGTGGCCAACTAATAGCAAGCAATTGTTTCACCCATTAAACAATATGATGTGTTACCTGGAGCCTGTGCAACCTGCACTCACCTGGAGATTTGGGAGATTTTCATATACTGTTTATAGAACAAGGAAATAGGAGAGCATCCATCAAAAGAAATAACAGAGATAATAGTTTTAGTGCCCATAGAATGCATGCCCACTGCAGCTGTTACATTTATGTGTGTTGTAAAGCTGATTTCTCTCCTCTAGAAGCTGAAAAGTCACTAGGACCAGTATAGGCAGTCCTCGACTTACGACCACAATTTAGCCCAAAATTTATGTTACTAAAAGAAACATTTGTTAGGTGAGTTTTACCCCATTTTATTACCTTTTTTTGCCACCATTGTTAAGTGAATCACTGAAATGGTTAAGTTAGTAACGTGGTTGTTAGGGGAATCTGGCTCCCCATTGACATTGCTTGTCAGAAGGTTGCAAAAGCAGGACAAATGACCACAGGACATTGCAATGGTCATAAACAGGAACCGGTTGCCAAGAATCTGAATTTTGATCACGCGACCACGGGAATGCTGCATTGGTCATGTGAAAAACAGTCATAAACCACTTTTTTTCAGTGCCGTTGTAACTTTGAACAGTCACTAAATGAACTGTTGTAAGTTGAGCACTACCTGTACTGATGATCAGTGGCACAGATTAAGAATGACTAAAGGCCTTCACCAAATGGTCACAAAACTGTATTTTCTTGATAGAAAACTTGATGTCCATTAGAAGAAGTAAGCTATTTCAGCAACAACAGTGAACAAAGGACTCAGCAAACTGGAACATGGTATCTAACTTTGAAGTGGGACTCAAACCAGTCATTTCAGCTTCTCTTTGTCCTACATCAGAGGTCTGCAACCTTAAACACTTTTGGACCTGTTCCCCACAGAAAACACCTGGAGCCAATAATTTAACAACCGGTGTGACTGAGTGGGCGTGGTCAACTCGATGTCACTCACTAACACTCGGTCACCTCCTGCAAATCTCCATCTCCCGCCATCACCCTTACCTTCTCAGGCCAGCTGAGGAGTGATGGGGAGGGGAGGGGCCAGTTGGTGGTGGGATCAGCTGACAGGGGGCCACAGCAGAGGGCCGAAAGAGCCACATGTGGCTCCAGAGCCACAAGTTGAAGACCCCTGTCCTACATCATCTCAGCCATTATAGTTCTGCTCATTAGTATTCCTCATGGTTTCCCAGGTATTCCCACTCTCAATTTCTAAAAACTGTCTTCCAAAATGGGTGCTCCAAAGACCTGAGTTGCATGGTGTATTTGGAGACTGCATGAAGGCATAAGCCGAGCCTGTTCTATCTCAAAATATACTGTGCTGTTCCAATCCTTCAGCCAGCAGAAACATCCTATAATTTGTCTCTATAACATCACACTCAGAGAGACTCCAGATGGGGGAATGAATAGACTTCAAAAGAATGGAGAAAGAAAAAGAGAGGGTAATATTTTGGAATGGGTAACATCTGTGGAAAACTGTGGCACTGTCAAGAAAAAAACAAAATGCAAGCAGCAGAAGATGGGAAGCAGAACTGCCTGAAAAGACGGTGAGTGTGAGAACGGCACAAAAAAGATGGCGAAGTTGAAAGGCAGTTAAAGCATTAAAAAAATCCGTATGAAAAGAGAAACACTCTGACATGGGTATGTATGTACTTGGTGTAAAGCAGCTTCCACGTGGAATGGGGGCTGTAGTGCTTCTATGCCAACAAGCACCCTCTGCAAATCAGAATGGGCAAAGGAGGAGGCAAAAAAGTGACCGTTAAAAATGTAAATACCCAGCCACCCCCTAGCAGCACCTCCCTCTTCTCAACAACTCTGAATCGTTCACACTCATTGTGGCCCTGGCTCACCTGCCTCAATCCTTGGCCTAGGGACTTAAGAATGTGGAGTTCTTGTTGCCTTCCCAGGCGTACGAGCAGACAATCGTATTTCTCAGCCTGCGGGTTGAAAGTGGATCCGATCCATCCATGACCACCTTAAAGTCCTATGCCAGGACTCCCAAATAAAAAGAAAAACAGGAATTTGCTTCCACTTCCCAGGCCTCCCCAGCGCCAAAAGCGAGGAAAGATTCAATGCCACCATCATTATTGCCATCACTACTGTCATGATCATTGATCATTACATGGAAAGTGGGAAACTGCTGAAGATTCCTGCCTCTTTACGCCATGCATGGGGTCTGCATTGACTCGGCACAGCAGGAAACTTATAATTAAATTGACCTTCTGTGCAGCAGGGGACTAACATACTCTCTTAAGAGTACTAAACCCATTTATAGCAAGAGCCTGTTGTAACACCCAACAAGCAGTTTTAAAAAGTGTTACACAGTCAGATGCCTCTGACTAAAGCCAGGAATTCCATCTTAATTCTTCCCTGAAAACCAAGTCAAAATGACCATGGTGGGCAGTGCCCAAGAACTGTATTAGAGGGAATATGATTGCAACAGGAGGAAGAGGTAGTGGTTTGTCGAACCAGTGCTTTTTAGTGAGATGCTTTTTAATGAGTCCCCATTGGATGCAGATAAAGAGCAGCTTCTGAAAGAAAAAGTCAGCTAACAAGGCCTTCCAAAAGAAAGAAAAATGTAGCTTTTTCAACTAATGTTATACTGAATAATAACAAGCTTTTTATTATTAGGTGGCATTAACACAATGTCCAGCTAGGGGACAGAAGAAGGCTTAAGTGCATTGCAGAGAAGTCAAAGACCTAAAAGGTTAAATGAAAAAGGACAGAAGTCCATGGCGAAAAAGTGTTAAATCATATACATAGAGGGGATCATCTGAATGCTCAAAACACAAACGGTAGGGCTATCTAACACTGTCTCTCGGAGCACAGCAGAGTCTGCTGGAGAAGGTTTGGAAATTAATACTGGAGATTAAGGTCAATATGGACATGAATGAGAGGTAGTACAATTTCATAGCTGTGAGGGTGGAGATTCCACCAGGAAAGATGAAGTTCAATGCTGGTTATTAGAAAGACCAGAAGTCAGAGGGAGATAATGGATGTGTATCCTAGTACCACAGAAAGACCTCCAAGTATGGCAGACATACCAGGGCAACCATTAAATTATAATCTGGGAAGAGACGAGTGCTTTGATCAATGAAATTCAAGATAAAGTAGTAAGATTCAATCTCCAGTTTGGGATCCTCAAGATATGTTGGATTGCGTCTTTCCAAAGTCTCAAACCTAACTGGACTGAAAAATGTAGCTGGACAATACCAGTATTTTAGAAGTTCTAGCCCATCACATTAGGAGAGAACCAGGTAAGGCTGATGTAGAAGAAAAGCCATGTTTATCGAAAGAGAGATCCTAGTTTAGACTATCTCATCAAGGTCCGAGTTCTGTGGGTGCTTCCAGTGCAAGTGAGTGCCCCCCCACCCCCAGCAGCGAGCAGTGCTAGAAATCAGCAAAAAAGGGGACAAGCCAAAGCTGATAGGAACAAGCTGTCCATCTGCTATCTGATTCAAGGCTCTGAGCTGGGCTTCACCAGATATCCGCTAAAGGTGACGTAGGTGTCATATTCGTCACTGAACACAGCATTGTCACGTTCGCCCTTAAAGAGCCGAATCCAGATTTCATCCTGATCCTGCAGCTCTATCATGAGGCTCTGGCTCTGCATGATGCTCCGATCACTAGCCTGTGCATATAAGATGGCTGCTTCTTTTGTGTTGTGCATGATGTGAAGGTAGGTCTCCTTCTGGTTCCACGTATGCACATTGAGACTGAAGAAATATATGCCTGGGACGTAGCAGTAGAACTTGCCCATAAACATATTGAAGTGTCCGTAGAGGTTCACAAACTCAGTGTCAAAGACGAGTATCTGGTAATAGTCATTGCTATGCAAGGGTTTCCGCCGACCCACCGAAAAGGCAGCGTAGTTGGTCTTGTAGCTCTCTCCGGGTGATCCCATGTTGCCCTTTTGCCCCTTGAAGCCAATCTCACCCTTCTTGCCTGCTGCGCCGGCTTTTCCCAACTTCCCTTGGAAGCCACGATCACCACGGTCCCCTTTCTCACCTGAGAAACAAAGATGTCATGACAGATCGCAGTTTCCTTCAGCTGGCCCTCCTCCCCCAGGATGTTTGGGAGTTTTACTCTGGCTAACTGAGGATTAAGGATACTAATGTCCAATCCATCTAGAGCAGGGGTCTCAAACTCACGGCCCACGGGCCAATTGCGGCCCGCAGGACGATATCCTGTGGCCCCCACCGTGATATGAAAGTATAATATTAGTGCGGCCCGCAGGGGGAATGGACCTCCGAAGGAAGTCCTGCCCGCCATTCCTTGTCCTGGCTTCTTCTCCACCCTGAACTTTAACAAGTCCAAGTACAGGTCCAGACTTACTGATGAACATCTTCAAGCCATACTGAAGGTCTCAAGTGCCTCCTCTCTCAAGCCAAATGTGGCTCAGATATGTGAGAGGAAGCGTTGTCAAGTCTCTGGCAGCAAGGAGTAAGCTGGAGAAGCCATGTTCTGAGGAACTGTTCATGATCTTCATTCAATGTTCCATTCATGTGTTCAGGACAGTTCATGTATTGGAGAAATCATTAACTGTTGATGACGTTTGAGGATATTTTTTTTAACAACATTTTTTGTGGAATCCCTTATGCGGCCCAGCCTCACCCAGACTCTGCCTCCAGCGGCCCCCAGGTAAATTGAGTTTGAGACCCCTGGCCTAGAGGGTAGCAACTGGTGAAGGCATCTTTTAGGAACAATTGAAGAGAGACAACCACAAGGTTTTATGGGATCACCAAAATAAGAGAAAAAGATCTCATAAAAGTGTAATGCTTTCTGGTTTCAAACCCAGAAAGCAGAAAATGCCCTTAATAGGGAAAGTGTCCAAAATGCTTTGGACAACAAATATTGACTTGAATCTTATTTTTTCCCCTTGGCACTTTATAAGACTTCCTCTCTGCTATTTACATCTTATTTCTATTACTGTGGTGTAAAAAATGGCTGATTTGTTGGCTAAACATCTATTTATACATTTGAATACAACAAGGAGATAAATAAAAGAATCCATGCATCCCACTTGTGGCAGAAAACCCTGAACAGAAATGGCGCCAGTCAGTCCACTGCTATTCCTTGCTGGTTTACCATTTAATAAAACTACAGTATATACCATCTCCATTCCTGTGGCAGGGAAAAACCACTACATAATGTGATGTCCTTCCTGGCCTAGATTCCAGACAGATACATATGTGGTAAAATACTTTTTCCTGCATGGATGAAAGTATGTCTGCACTGCAATGCCTTCAGAACGATAAGGATTTTTTTTGGATATTAAATAGGTTTACTACTGAATTTTATGTTAAATCCGTTAAATATTAAATATGGAGCAATGGTTTCTGTTTTATCCATTAGATAAAAAGTGTAAGGTACACATGTGATCTGAACATGTAATCCGAAAATACATGTTCAAAAAATGTGAAAGTTTTCAGTTTTGAATTTAGGATGATCAAAAGACATGGATTGGAAGAAAAAGGGGAAAACTCTACAGTAAATATACAGTATACTCATAAGAGTAACTCAAGTGGAGAACCTCCGGCTCATAGGCCAGATGCAGCCTGCAGAGTCTCCCCATATGATTTGGTTGGCCTCTCTCCACTGCTCCCCAGTCCTGCTAGGAGCACTTATATTTGGTTTCAACTGAATGCTTTTCCCAAATGAATCTGCAGTCAGCAGGAAAGAGTAATTGCGGTTGCCAAGGGGGTGGAATTGTATTATGCATATATGAATGTTATAAACAATGTGTGCATCCCTGTGGGAGAGAATGAGAGAGTCCGATTGGAAAAACTTCCATTAATTCAGTTTAAAGAGTTTACCAAGCTTACTTGCAGTGTAAGGGGATGGGTGGTACAGATTTTTTGGACAAAGGTATGGATGTACGCATAGTTATTAACCCAGGCTTAACCCAATGAAATAGCTAACTTAAATGAAATAGCTAACTTTCAGTCTTGCATAGCCTAATTTCATAGGCTTGTTTTATTTTTTTTAATTGTGGACACCTACGATGTATATTTGAGACCCTGAAGGAGTAGCAGGATATAAATTGAAAGTTAAGTAGAGGAAATACAAAAATAGGTTACTGGTATACTGACAGAAGAAAAACTGTGTCGGGTGGGATGTGAATGAAAGATTGGTGGGGCTATGAAGGAGTGCATGAGCAAAGGTTTCTGCCTATTGCCACTGTTGTCCAACCCAATGTTGGTTTCTGGGATTTAATTTTCCTTTGAAATCTCAGATTCAGCAGTCCCGGGGCCTTTTCTGATGATACAATCTCTCCACCCTTTAGATCAGGCCATGTCCTAACGCAACCTCTGGTGTCCTAAGTCTGACTCAAGACTAAATTGTTGGTTTGGCCTCTGTTGAATGGATAAAATTATCATAACAGATCCTTCCAGCCAAGGAATTTACTTAACCCATACAACATCCCCCTAACCTAACTCTCTAGCTTCTGCAGAACCCAAAGTTTTGTCCAAAGACAGCCTCTCCATACTGTGGTTAAAACATGGGAGGGACAGGACTCCAGATGCAAATTCTCCATGGCTTCTGGAAGCCTATCCCATTTCCGTTCCAAACTGGCAGCTAAATGGTTCGGGTCAGATGGGCAGGGATTTCAAAGCATGACCTGACCTGCCGATGCCAACTAATAAGTTGTGATTGCTTCCATTATGAAGTGATGGAACTTAGAAATGTTAGGGCATATCCCAGAGCTCTCTGAAATTTATGCACTTTGAAATCCCCTCATGAATGAAGAGATGAGGCAACTGCAATATTGTTAGCTTATTTGCCCTCTGGCTGTGCACTCTGCTCCCTCCCCATCTGCTTCCATAGGCAGAATTGATGTGATAATCTAAGATAAAGTGCAGGGAGGCCACCCTATGGATGGAACAGATTCTGAAAACCAGGTGAAAATGGATGGAGAAATCCTCGCTATTTTGCCTCCTGGTGTGGAGGAATTACAAGTATAGAACTGATTTTAACATGAGGCATTTTATGTCCTCTTCTGTCCTCTGTTCCAAAGTTGATCAAACAGCTGTATTCATTACCTCAGACTATAATGCTGCTGCTGAGTTAAATACCTTAAAGGGGATTCAGCGAATTAATGGGGACGCAGCTCGTCCATGCCTACCAGTCATGATAGCTCTATCACCTCCCTGATCAGAGCAGTTTCTCAACCCTGGAAAACCAGCTCATGGAGAACAGACATGGGAAAACCTCATTTGTGCAGGAACCAAAAGTATTGGATAGGAACAAAGTCCCAGCTCAATATGCCTTCGTTAGATCCAATACAGCTATATTTATGTTCTCATTTTTCTCAGCTGGTGTTTTAACTTCTCATAAAGCTCCAGGGCAATGTTATGCTGGGGACATCGTAGGACATGTAAATGATGTTCCCTCAGGCTGCCCCAACCAACTCACTGTACAACCTTGGGACAAATCTAAAAAACTGCCGTATACCAGGGTGAGGAGAGCCTAGTAACTACTTCCAGAGGACATGGCCACATACCCCTCCTATATCTCACCGTCCACAGAAGGCAACTCAAATATGCTTTTCCGTGCTTTGTTCTGTGTTTTTCTCTTATTCTGTCTCCAGTTGCTGTGTGTGGGAAAATAAAGGGAATACTGATGCACATGGGGGAGGCAGCCTGAAAGTAGGTCTCCTGTATTGACAAACTGGAAACCCCAATTGGTTCTGCTGGCCTCCTGTCCATGATGATTTCTTCTATCCCTCAATCCTCTTTCGGCTACATGGGAGACCAGAACCCCAATTATTATAACCTCTTTTTTTTAGCCACCAGTGGATTGGTTGCTCTAGTGACGTCGCAGGGGTGTCAAACTGGCAGCCCATGGGCTGGATGCGTCACGCACAGGCCACGTCCACCCCAGCTCTGCAAATGGGGAAAATGTTGCAAAACATCACATGACGACAATGTGACATGGCAAGTTTGACACTCATGATCTAGTGAGTAACTAATCACTGGCTTAAGAGAGATTACTCAAAGTATTATTGAAAGTGTCTATGAAGATTCTCAGTCATCCAGGTCATGGCTGTCCCAAAGGTGCTTTTTCAAGAGACAGTCCAGTTGCCTCTTTAAAAAGCACCTTTGGGATATTATTGAAAGGACTCATTTTTTGTACTTCGGTAGTTTGGATGGTAGGGAATTGCTTAAGCACTTGCTCCTAATTTCTTTTCCTCATATAATTTTCTTAGAGTAATTTATAGCGTTCACATCAATCCCCTTCTCAAACTCCAATCCTTCAACAGCATTTATCCAACGGCTGCATTTTCATTGTTCAACCCTGAATGACCACTAGGGGCAACCAAGAGAGAAAAACCCTTTGATGCCATCTAGTGGTTGATATGTCAGTCAACTGGTTAACCTGTACTTTCAAGTAATTTTAAAAATCCAGTAAATAACATCACAGGAAAGAAATAGGGAGGAATGTATGGGGTAATCAGAGTGTTGTGCATATCCATTGAAGAAAGGTTTTCATATGATGGATGATGTTGGGCAAGCTTGGCTGTCAACCAGGAAAACAGCCTATCACAGTCCTTAGGAGTTGCCCATTAAAGCTTTATGGACAGCGGTCCCATAAGGGCATGTATAGGGGCAGCAAGATTTAGCACAGCCTGATTTCCTGCTGGCTCAGGGACAGGAGTACAGCAAAACAATTGTGTGGACGTGGCCTTGGCATTGGAGAAAGGTTAGTCAGAGGACATTGCCAATTTTAAGCCTTGGAATGACTAATAGCAGTTTTTTTCCAGGCTGACAAAACCAAAAAAGAAAAAGACTCAGATGAGGAATCTTAGGAGGACAAGCAGAACATCTCCAGTCCTACAGATCATGCATAAATGTGCATGATGCTCTAATATCCATGATAACTTTCATGCTGTCCACAGAGGTATTTTTGTGATGCATATTGCTCATGGATAAATGGATGGCTGAATCTCTTTCCCTAAATCTCACATTTTGAACGCAAAGCAGCCTCTTACCTTTCAGGATGGTCATGTTGATCTGAGGCACGGGGTAGTACATGGGATGTGTTGCAGGAGGATCACAGCAGCGAACACACTCTGACCTTCCTGGCTGCTTGCTGTGTCTCTGATAGCCATATTCAGTTCTGGGAGGCAAAAACAGCACAGACTGAGTGGTCAAAGGGCAAGAACTGGGAAAGGAGACTTGGCCCCTGAGTTTTACTTCTATAAGCCCACCTTATTCCCCGACAGCACTGTTTCAAAAAATATGAAAAGTTAAATGTAGTTGACAGAAATTATTGAGATTCCTGCATGAACAGTTTATGGGAAGCAAACTAGAGGTGGTATTCAGCAGGTTCTGACCAGCTCTGGAGAACTGGTTGAGGAAATTTTGAGTAGTTTGGAGAACTGGCAAATACTGGAGATTTTATAGTATCCTTCCCCTGCCACACCTACCAAGCCACGCCCACAGAACCGGTAGTAAACCGGTTTTTGATGCAGGATTGTGTGACTACAGCTTTTGAACTGTCATTTGAAAACTGGGATAGTTTTTTTTTATTACTCCAATTCGAGACAAGACCAGTTTTCAATTGACTTGATCAGTTTACAGTGAGGTTCAAAATCACATTTTATTCTTTTTCCATTATAGTTACTATGATTCCAGTCCCAAGCACTTACTTTATTATGACTGAAAAAAATAAATATGTGTATCCTGTAGACAAACTCTTCAGCTACTTCCAAAATAATATGTATGAGGATGCTATAGGATTGCCTAACAGAAACAAGGCTGCATGTCATTTTAACTGAACAAGAGAACCATTTTGGTGCAATGGTTAAAGTACTGGATAGAAACCAGGAGATGGGAGATCAAGTCCTCACTTAGGCATGGAAACTGGATGGGTGACTTCCGGTCAGTTGTTCTCTCTCTCAGCCCAACTCACCAAACAGGGTTATTGATGGGAAAATAGAAGGCAGGAACATTATGTTGGCTATCTTGAGTTGTACAAAATAAAGACAGAATAAAATGATAATAAAGATTGCCACAATGGACCTTGTTGTAGCTGTATTTTAATACATTTAGCAATAATAAAAACTAGCTGGATATATATTTAAGCATGAGAAACAAAAACAAAAAACCCTTCCCATCATTTTCCTCTTCATTTTTTTTATAAAAGAAACAACACAATCTATTAAGGATGAGAAAAACTGAACAAGTGGACAAAAAGAAAAACAAAGGAGGATTGTAAATTAAAGACATCAACATATCTCCTCCTTCCAATAAATCTGTGATCTATAGCAGTGGTTCTTAACCTTTTTGAAAGAATCGCCCCCTTGAGCCACTGAGGAAGTTATCATTACCCCAACCGCCTCCCCCAACATAACCTGTCAATCACAACACAGGGAAATAATTCTTCAATTTATGCAAACACGTTTTTTGTTTTCTTTAAAATTGTCATCAGGACATATTGATGCAAATAATTTATTTCCAGTCTTTTCCCCATATCTCAACTGTGTGGAAAATTCTGATGCCACTCATCACTTTACTCCCAAACTTCGTGATACAAGTATTTCATTATTATCTTATTTATTCAAGACACTTAAATGCAATGATCACTGCAAACAAAATTCAATTGCAAGAAAATGAAATGCCTGAAAAAAAACAGTAACATTTAATGATTTAATTACAAATGAATTTTAAGACGCAAAAAGACATATAAAAAGGGCATAAGAACAAACCGCAATGCAGGAACTAAGAATTTCAAGACAAAAACTCTGAAAAAGGGTTAAAAAGACACAAAGAAAAATTTTACGGAACATTTTAAAACACAGTTCAATCCACTGATAGCGAGTGATCTGATGTTTTTGTACGACAGATATACAGCTGTTCACTGTACAAAAAAAGTCTCAAAAGTGTCCCCAAAACTTCTTGCTCCATCGCCCCCATGTCGCCCCCTTCCCTTCCTTTATCCCCTTGTCGCCCCTTTTCGTTCCATCGCCCCCCTGAAAAACAAAATCGCCCCCTGGGGGTTGATATCGCCCAGGTTAAGAACCACTGATCTATAGTAACTTCACCACAGAAATTCACCTACCTACCTTTTTTTCACTAATGACCTTTAGGGAAACTTAGCCCTTCCTATAGAAATACAACAGGTTGCTACCATGACTATCCATTTCGCCAATTCTCTGTTCTATACATTTTGCTGCAGGGTGAAAACCAGGATGTGGCATTAGAAATCAATGGCCTGGGATAAGACACGGTCAGTGACATGAACCAATGTCTACAATGGGCTTTGCCAGGCTTTTCAGTTGTTGTGGAAAACAACAAGTGAAGAAAGGCTCTAAATACATCTACATATTGTATGAAGTAGCTGAGGAGGATAGCTGAAACATTATTTGTTAGATGAATATCTGACCTTTCTTCTAAGGCATTCTTTAATTTCCCCCAACAATCCTGTGAAGTAGAAAAAGAGTCAGTAGTTCCAGAGTTATCCAGCGAGACAGACTTGAATGTGGGTCTTCCCATAGTCCAAAACCTTCACCTCTACACTCCTTCACATTGCACGGGCTTGCAAAGCAGAGATTTGGTGAAAACTGGTGAAACTCTTGACAGGGGTGATTTGGGAATGGGGAAAGGAGAACAGTCAGACCATTAGTATGGCTGGGTTCCCTCCTCATCCCAGGAGATCTTATGAAGATGTGCATTGTGATAGAATAGACACATTATACTGTATATATTATAACAATCAAACAAAGATTTTCTAGCTCTCAGTTCCTACCCAGATTCATTAAAAATGAAATAGAATAGACATTTTATGGAGATGGGAGCAGAAACAAATCATTGATTGGCCAGACTGAAAAGACCAAGAGCAATCTAAATCCTTGGGCATGAAGAAAAATTGCCAGCCACTGTGGAAGAGAAAGCTGCACCCAATGACTGTAGGGGACTACGAAATCTGAATTTACTCTGCAACCATGAAGGCTGATGCTACCCATCTAATTATACATTTGTTGGAGAAAAAAAATCATGCCCTTCAGCTACTTCAATTTAAAAGATGCCGTACCTTTTTTTCTCATAACTTTTAGCAGGTGATTGCTGGCTTGTGCTCCTTCAGGGGAACAACCTTTGGCCGAAAGCAGGAATAGGAGATCAATTTGCCAAGACACCAGGCAAATTTTTTTTTCAAAGAACTAGATAGGATCTCCTCCCAGTTCCTGTAATTAGCACTATAACTTGGGGTGGGGGTGGGGGCAGTTTGGCATGATCTAGAATCTGAACTCCATTATTACAAAGCATCATTCCAACCCTTTGCCAGCAGATGATGGTAGCCAGAAAGACAGAAAAAGTAGGGAAGGGGTTCCAATATGAAAGATACTGAGGGCTCAGGGACCACTATTTTCAATCTCCTGGGTACTACAGCATGATGTGTAACGATCTTATTGGCAGAGTTGCCACTCAAATATTGATGAGTTAATTCTTACTTTATTATATATCTATATTAATAGAATATTGGAAGTTTGAAGGTCAACTTCCTGCAACTATTTTAGACTGCCTAATCAGTTGCTAAATTTCTTTCTCTGACTCTTAAGCTGCTGGGGGCTCCTGCTTCTGAGGGATCCTTGGTGTTCTCTGAGTTTGCTTGTTTTCTTGCAGACGTTTCATTATCCTAACTAGGTAACATAATCAATGCTCTTGCTTCTTTTGATTGATTGTTTCTCAGGTAGCATCTCTTCCCTTATTCCCCAAGATCACAAATTCTTGGATGGGTGACCTTTGGGAACAAGGGGAAGAACAGACCACAATGGATATAATAGACCACAGAAGATTACAGGAAGAAGAGTTAAAATGCCTAAATAAATCTAGTGTTCATCTATATACTACTAAAATTTATATGCCTGTTGGTTGGTTGAAATGGTGCATCAGAGGGCAACATTTTTTCATTCAACATACTTCAAAGGCATCCAAAATTCAGGAACCATTACTCCTGTGGGATTGAAATTTAGCAAAGTTGTGGCTGTTTCAGCACCACTATGCCTTCCAACTACACTTCCTAGAAACTTTAGTTTTCCCAAGGGAAGACAGAAAGGGTGTATTTCAGCCCCTTTCCTGCCTCCCCATAGCCCCTGCACCCAATTGACTGACAGCAAGACCGATCAGGTGTGTGGCAATTGGCTGGTTTGGAACAAAGACTACAATTTGAAATCTCTTAACAGTGGTGGCTGGTGAGGGAAGGCTAGGAAGTGACTGGGGTGCCTGCTAGAGAGGCAGGGCCGATTGGGCAGCATTGGAAGTGCCCTCTTCCTCCCTGGAAGGAGCGAGCCCTTGGAGACACACTGGGATGGAGAGCGTAAGTAGTTTCCCTTTGTTCCTCCTCTCCTCCAGCAAAGTGGCAGGCAGTTCCACAGATCAGCCAAGGAAGAGTGATCTCCAATGCTGTGGCTGCCACAGGCAAAGTCAATGGGGAAGCAGGTAGGGCTTTGGAAGCTGCTCTCACTACCACTGCTTTTTTCCCACCCACCATCATTCCTGTTTGTTTAGGTAAAGGAATATATCTGAAAGGATGACCTAGTGGGTCATGGGTTGTCTAATTATTTCTATTCCTCTCTGTTCAGAGGTGTGAACAGGAAGCCAAAGAAATTCAGCAGGAGATCATTTTTCCTTTCTGATCAGGTAAGATGAAGACTGGATGGAGGCTGGGCAGTGAAGGGGTTTATTATGGGTGGGTGCTAGCATAAAATATACATGGCCGTTTCCAGTACAGAGATGCCTAGAGAATGCTCACTCTGATTAAACAGGATCCTTAATTGTGTGCCTATGATTCAACCATTAAGGGTTTTTTGCAGTCATTTGCACCTCCTCCAGAGCCATTTGTACCCAGCAGCCTCTGGCTTAATTTAAAGTGGGACAGAGTGAGTTAATTGTGCATAAACTGCACACTGAAGATGCACATTAATGAAGTTAATTGGGCATTGAAGTACAACCATGAAGTGTTTTCTTCAACTGTCAGCAGTTCTGGTTAAAAGTTTCACAGTTCTGAACAGCTGCCCAGATATGTGGTCTGTTTAAACACAGTCCCTTGAGACCAGCTTCCACTACTCAAGAGAAACAGGTGCATGTGTGCGTGTGTGTGTGCGTGTGTGTGTGTGTGTTATTTATGGCATATTGGTTTTACTGTAATGACTCACCTAGATGTCTGATCCCAGAGTGGTGGCCGTGTGGGCATTCCGGGCTTCTCTTCCGCCTGTCTCTCGGTTCCAGAAGCTTGAAATAGTAGGCAGATAAGCCAAAACGTACTGTGTACCAATGGTCCCTTCATGGCGTTGTGTCCTGTTGGAGAAAGCAGGCTGATAAAACTGCTGGAGATGCTCAAGAGGCAGGAAATTAACCTGCTTGCTCCCCATTCATTTCTACCAATTCTCTGCCGATGCATAGGAAATAGAGCCTCCCTAACACTGCAATATTCAATGAAAAGCACTAGAAATACCAGTTGCGAGGCTTTGTTTGTATTGGGGCACTCAAAAGATAAGATGACACTCTTGTTATTGTACTATCCCAAATTTTATGATCATCACAAGGGCTGGTGGTGGAATTCCCTGGGCTTGTGATGCTGGGGGTTTTTAATCTGCCTTCTTCAAAGGCAAAGCCAGAGATAGTCTAGTAATTCATGGCTATCGTGAGAAAGTCCCAGGTAAAGAAGAAGGAGGACCTATATGATCACTTTAGGTGTCTAACAGAAGCATTCAGTTTCCAAAAGCTAGTTAGGGAGTTTCCTGAGATTCTGGTTGGCAGTCCTGCTGAGGCTTTAGTCGCCTGCTAGTATGAGGCAGGTAAAAGCCTTGGACAAGATTGTGCCTAAGGAGGAATTCCTTAATTTACTGAAGAGTTCTGGGAGATGAACTGGTTTAGAGGAAGCCTACAGAATTACTGGCAGAAGACTGAGTGAATCTAAACATACATGGATAGCAACCCACATTCAAGTGCCGTAGTGCCATAGTAAAAGCATCAAGGCATATTTATTTCTCTGCTTGTCTTATCATCCAGCATCCACTTTCAAAATAATATGGACTCTTTTAGAGAAAGGTTATTAGAAGAATGACCTAAGCCCCAGAGCTCACTATAACAGCATTGCCAAAAAAGCATTAAGGGTTGTAAATCTAATCTTACAAAGCTTCTCCTCCAGAAATATCGAATTGCTAACTAGAGCATGCAAAACTTTTGCCAGACCAATACTTGAATTCAGCTCATCAGTCTGGAATCTTCACTGCATATCAGACATTAATACAATCGAGCAAGTCCAGAAGTATTTCACGAGAAGAGTACTACACTCCTCTGTTCGCAACAGAATACCCTTTATCACCAGGCTTGAAATTTTGGGCTTGGACAACCTTGAACAACCTTGAACTACACCGCCTACAGTTAGACTTAAGCGTAGCACACAAAATTATCTGCTACAATGTCCTACCAGTCAATGACTACTTCAGCTTCAACCACAACAATACAAGAGCACACAACAGATACAAACTCAATGTAAACCGCTTCTAGCTTGATTGCAGAAAGTATGACTTCAGCAAGAGTGGTCAATGCCTGCAATGCACTGCCTGACTCTGTTGTTACATCCTCTAACCCCCACTCCTTTAACCTCAAACTAACCACTACTGACCTCACCCCATTCCTAAGAGGTCTGTAAGGGGCGTGCATAAGTCTACCATTGTGCCTCCCGTCCCTGTCCTATTGTCCCCATTTATTCGTATCTATTTCCTGTATTCTTATTTATGTTTATACTTATATCTATTACCTTGTAAGCAATTGACAAATCAAATAAATAAATCAAATAAACATCTGCAAAAACACTGTGAGGAATTTTTTAAAGATTTCTGCTGGACAAAACCAGTCTGAGGGCTTAAGTGTCAGCTGGGCAACTCCTCCCGAAGTAAGACTATGTCCTGTGAGGTTCTCTAGAATAAGTTTAAATCTACTGGTATAGAGAAAGCAGACAAGATTCTCTATGGTATCAACTTTGCCTTTTAATCTGGATCCCTATTTTTCCTAGTTGGGAACGCTTCTAAACTGGTGGCAGGAGGCTGGGTCAGTGTGGTGGTGAAAGCAAAATTTTCGAAAAGAAATATTACTAGCTGCTTGAAAGAACTGGTGATAGAGCTTCTTTTCAAGAAACGATCAAGTAATACTACATAACAATAATTGAGTCTCCAACCTTCCTTTCATGGGTAAAGTTGCTGAGAAGGGCAGTAGGAAAAATAAACTGAGGGTCATTGTGGTTAAAATATGACTGGGATGGGAGAGAGGGATGGTTCAATCACTTCCCCATCATCCATTCTTTTCATGCTTCCTAAATAATTTTCCTACAAAATGAGAAAAAAAGACTCCAGAGAAGATTGAGATGGGTACGTTTCTCCCACACATTATTCTGCTCTAAAAATCTGATGGAAAAACTTCATCTGAGACATTTCAATGCAATAATAAACTTCACTCCTTCTTAATTGCCTTTCATCCAAGTCTTTCAAGGCAAAATACACAGTGATGTACATAGCAGTTACAAATGTGAAAGCTCACCCACCCTTAGTCTGTAATAAACCAAGAGAAAATAGTTCCCCCCAAAATTGATCATATTTCCTAAAATCTGTGGTTTTTTCAAAGGCCCCAAGAAATACAGAATAACAGAGTTGGAAGGGAACTTGGAGGTCTTCTAGTCCAACTCACTGTTCAGCTAGGACACCCTATACCATTTCAGACAAATGGTTGTCCAATCTCTTCTTTAAAAAATCTCCAGTGATAGAGCAGCCACAACTTCTGGAGGCAATTCCACTGATCACTGACAAGACATTCCTCCTTAGTTCTAGGTTGGATTTCTCCTTGGTAAGTTTCATACTTCTTGTCCTGCCTTCAAGTGCTTTGGAGAATAGGTTGACACACCCCTCCCTTCCTTGTGACATCCCCTTAGATATTGGAACACTGGCGTCATGTCACTCCTAGTCCTTATTTTTATTAAACTAGACATATCCAATTCCTGCAACCATTCTTTATATGTTTTAGCCTCCAATCCCCTGATCATCTTTGTTGCTTTTCTTTACACTCTTTCTAGAGTCTCAGCATCTTTTTTATACCACATAGCTGGCTCAAGATCTGGATCTACAAGATTCTCATGGAAATAGTGGTATCTCTTATGGAAAAGAATGAGATGGCATGTTGTCAAAAAAACACAACTATAGTCCACTGCAAATAGAAGTCACACTTTTACAGGGTACATTAAGGCAACACCCATGCAAGCTCAGTCATACTTCAGTCATCAAGTATATGAATGTGTAAATATTCTCGTATTGATTAAGGAACATACAACTATCAGTACAATGCTTCCTAGTGTATTTTACTGTGAACTTCAAAGAAGCAAAGAGTAGGTTCCCAGGAAGTTAGTTCACATTGGTTTCAACAGGGAGGCTGGACCAGCACATATTAATTGGCGCAAACTGAAAAACATCTGCATATAGACTTACAAATTTCCATATACGGTAGCATCCTACACAGAGTAGGGACCTGTTACTTAGTAGCTTCTCCAAATTTCTCTTTCTTTGGACCGAACTCCAGCATTATGAGATGTGCTATAGAAACCTTTTCGCGTGGCAAATGTTAAATGACAATGGTTATACTGAAAAAGAGCACTTGTTTTACTATCTTTCATAATTAATGGGATTATATTTAACTTTCATGGCACTTTCCCAAAGCCACTTGTCCCAAAGCCTTGGAATGGTGAAAACAAGAAATGTGAATACATATACTATTTCTATAACCCCTTCTGCCCTCAAAATTTCCCCCAAAACATATGCAAGCAGTATTGCAGAAAATGTAACATCTGATTGATCCTGGAAAAAGAGAAAACGATTCCCATAAATAGATGCTTGTCAAATAGCTGCTGTCCATTAAAAAGATCTGTATACATGCAGAGAGAGAGAGAGAGACAGGACGGGACAGGACAGCACAGAACAGGCCAGACCAACGTTGACTGGCATGGAGAGGAGTCCAGAAGTGCATACAAAGATGTGTTCTCAGGCTGCGTTTGTTTTTTCCGGTTCACTCTGGCAACCTGCCATCTCCCAAGGGCAGCCAGTAGTGCCTGGCAATATAAAGTCATCATAGCCTGCAAGAAAAATCTTCTCAGCCTTAGAAACTCACTTTGGCAAACACAGAAAGGACATTGGGGTGAAGGAGCTAAGTTTCAGGAACTGTGTTGATAGGCATCAAACTCAAAGGGACAATGACTGTATCCCTTCCCCACGCCAGGGCAATGATGCATCCATGACTACTGCCCCAGCTGGTTCTCAGTTGACAATTCCTCAAAAGCAGAATTTGTATAAAACTAGAGGACGAGGCTTGTCTGCTGTAAATAGGAACCTTGACTAACTCTGTGCATCTACCTTAGATAGAGATCTCTGACCAACGAAGTATTTAGTACAATGGAAAGAGAGAAAAGCAACCCATCTGTAACTGTAATAGAACCCAGGCGCTCCAGGAAGATCCCGGGCCATTCCTACCCTCTGGAACATTTAAAGCATTACTGCCCAAGCTCCGCAGTGCATTCTGGAAGAAGAACCCTCAAACAAGACTCCAGAAAGACTTGGTCACTCATCTCCCCCCTGTTCAGATCAACGCCTGTCCCTTTGCTTGCATGGTTTCAAACAGCTCTAAGTACCTACCCTTGGCACTGTCCAACTTGCTGCCACCTACCTTGGGGACAGGATGATAGGCTGCCACAGCCACTGCTTGTGTTTGTCTTTGGACGTCTACAGCATCCCCCTCCACGTAAATACTTCCCCTCCCTGTGAGAAGGCGAGCCCAGCAGTTCTGCCTATAGTCTTCAGATCTCAGGCGCCAAGCAGAAAAGACGCTTTCTGGAAAACAGAGAGAGAGAGAGAGAAAGGGAAAGAAAGGGGCAGACACTGCACGCCGCCAGCCCTCCTCCCTCAGTTGTGAGCACAGCTGCCATTAACCATATGTATGCCCAGCACCCACAGTTGAGAGAAAAAAGACAGGTTTCCTCTGCCAGAAAGTATCTCCAGATGTTAGGGATCCAGAGCCAAGAAGTGAAACATGGAAAGAAAGGAAAGATAGTGTCACTGTTTACAAGAGTGGGGAAAAGGCATTTCTGAAGCCAAGGAATCAGCTACTCTGATTCCTTTAGTGCTGTCTCTCTATATTACTACATAATCATTACTTTTCCCTGTTTTTTTTTAAATGTGTCTGGCTTATTTGCTACAAGCAGCAGCATGTAAGTGGAGATAAGCAATATGCATTTCTACCAAGTAGATCCCTAGCATGATCTCTGTGTGCTTCAAGCTGCCAGCTCACAACTATTTCTCCTTTCTCTTCTGTTGGTCCCAAATTTGCTTCTTTACATACTGAATATAAATGGCAAGTCAGTGACCGATAAAAATCCGCTGAATAATAAATTTGTACATCATGATGCGGTTGGAAACTTAGTTTTTATTTTGTCCCTGTGTGAGTTTTTCTTCTTCTGACTAATTAACTTTAGACAGCCTATGCTTTCTTAGTCTCAGGGACCATATAAATTATCCTAAAACTAATATTTATAGGTAATTTAGTTGAAAGACTTTGTTCAAAAGGATAAAGAGCCATGAAAGTTCAGAGACATGGTAGGAAATAGAGAGGCATCACATCAGTTCTGCTGAGATATCAGCCAGCTCCTTGACTTGTTCTCATTCCAGCTGGTCATAATTGAGACTCCTGGATGGTTTTATGAACTGTTGGCCTGGGCTTGGTTGTTTTGTTTTCCCTCCCCAACCTTTTTTTCTTTTGGTGTCATGACTTTCATATTGTAAGCCTGAAGGAACACTTTATTTTATAAATCATATGCAGGGAACTCTGGGAGTCTTTACTGTAGACATGAAGTCTGCAGAGGGAATATGAGACGTAAGTCAGAAAATGTACCGGGAACCAAAATTAGGATAATATAGAAAAACAGAATGCCAGAATCTGGGGGGAGGCTCATGTTTGCTGTCCTTGGATCTGCCAGGGAAAACATAAAAAAGCAAGGAGTCCTCTGCAAGCAGGCAGCCTCCACTAACCCAGTCTGAGAGAAGGAAAGGAAGCAAACAACCTCCCAATTGCTTCCTTTTGGTCTTGGGCACAAATATACAGGAAAGAGGAAACGAAGCTAGGAGTACATTAAGCCAGCATCTTCCTCACCCAGTCCTCATTTCCTCACCTTGTTCTCATATCCAAGGGCTCCGCTCCTGCTGAATAAAGATACTTTTAGGCATAGCTTCTCTAAGCCTGGTTATTTCCTTCAACCTCCACCCACCCCCAAAATAGGAGCATTAAAAAAATGCTTTATACTACCTCTGAGCTACTTAGTCCAGCATTGCCTATTCAGGTAGTGATGGTTTTAGCTGGTATCAGGAATTTTCCCTTGTCACCTTATCTACTATCAGGCTTCTTCTAAGACAGTGTTTCTTAAAGGCGTGGTCCTAGGAGCTCTGGGGAACCTCCAAGACCCTCTCATGGGTCTACAAAATCAAATTATTTGCCAACCTAAGTTGAAACATAATAGAATATTAAAATCCAATCACATAACTGTAGCAGTGAATGCATTAATTTTAAGTTTCAGTAAGGTAAATATTGATAAATATATCAAAAGTTCCATGATTTTTAAAAGTGGGAGCAAGTCCTGAGAGAAAAAATTGTTCAAAAATACTGCTGTAAAAAATGTGCCCCATGATTATTTTTCACATCTCACTATTTGTTATTATATCAATCACTTTTTACAGAACAGAAATTCATTTTCTGTTTGTTAAGGAACCTCTGATGATCTAAGCAAGGAAGACTTGCTAAAGTCCCATTGACCTACCTATTTTTTTTCATTGTTCCTTTACCAGCCAAGAAATGCACTGCACCGTTCATTAATGCGCAGAACTAATGTTATCAATAGAAATCCACATTTCTATTTTGAGTAACAGACCAATTCCCTCACTGTTAGGAAAAGACTGACATAATGGACAATAGAAAAGGCAGAACCGCTTATATCACTACTCTCCTCTATATTACCATTATTTTACCAGCCTCACCACTGTCCATGGAAAATAATAAATACATATGCAGCAGGAGGAGGAATCTTACCAAAATTATATTTGCTAAATACAAACCTAATTAAGTCAGTTCAAAGCTAATTAACTGCAACACCACAATCTGGAGAAAAACTTCTTTTCCAATGCCAGGAACTTGTGGTTTTTGAACTGATATTATCTACTCCACTTCCTTAATCGGTTTATCTTAAGCATTTATTTTAGTTGTTTTTTTTTACCAGAATACGGACCTTTGTACTTTGAACACATTTTCTTTCTCTCTTGTGACATTAGAAACTTTACTTCATTTGATGAAACTCATTGGGCAGACATTCAGATCAAATATGTTTTTGTATACAGCATACACTCCAGTTAGGTTATAGATTCACTATCATCAGATGTGGCTGTTATTACAAATTCATGTTAAGCAGAGCCATTAAGTAGTACTAATGATGGCTAAAAGGACTTCCAAGATCAGAAGTGGTATGCACTTAGTACCAGTTCCTTGAATACATAAAAGACAGCACTGGCTATAAGAATTTTTTTCAGAGTTTTTCATCTATAGTCTTGTCTACTGGACTTAAGGAATTCCAAATGTAGACAACCAATTCATAAAGCTGTAAGATTTTCCTCATTTAGATTACTCATCTGTATTAATGAATTTGGTGACCTGAGGGGCAGGAGGAATGTTGCCACAATGTCTAATGAGCAGCAAAGGTTGGAGATTTTTCAAAGGGTCTGCCACACTTGCCAATTGGCAAGTTGCTCATCTGCATTTATCTTGTTTTAACTAGGGTAGCAAATCGTTATACTGTTAATTCTTTTGGCTTTTTTTTCCTCAGTGGCACCTACAAGTTTGACAAAACCCTTTAGGCCAGTCACTCACTCTCAGTCCACTTCATCTTCCAGGGCTGTTATGGGAAAAATAGGAGGAGGAAGGAATATTAGGTATGTTCACTGCCTTGAATTATTTATAAAGATAACAAAGATGGTATTAAAAATGCTTCTGTTGAGCTCCCTCAGTACCCACTTTTTAGCTTGTCATTGGCTATTTGTTTGCCTCTCTTGACTGAAATCTGTATAACTCAGAGGGAAAGTATTGCATGTGGAAATACTACTAATCCTCTCGCTATCTACTTGCTTAGAGGAGGCTAGGAGACAGGCAGACAACAACATTAGGAGAAATAGTAGAAGGGCCAGATATTGCAGAGATTGGCAGTTGACCCCCAGCTGCAGTACAGACTGTAGCACAATTCCAGCCTCAAATTCCAAAATCCATCCTGTTGGGAATATACTGGAGAAGGGATGTGCTAAAATTTGAAATAAACAAAACAAAAAGAAGGAGAAAAATGGAATCTCTCCACTGGAACAAACAGAATGCTTGACAGCTGCTCTTTGAAGAATAGTTATTTATATAACTTTACATTGAATCACATCACTGATTCTTTTATCTTAAACTCTGAGTTTTACTCCAGTCTACCTACCAAAGTGTATTTTCAGGAAGTGTGCTAATAACTGCTGTCTGCCTACTCTCTAATGTTCACCCTCCAATTATTTTCCATACAAGCAGGTGCACCATATGTAGAAAGTTACAAGTCAATGCTTTGATTCAACGTGGATAGAACTGGAGAAACTCAGTCTTATCTCTCTTTGACACTAGCCCCAGGGGATTCAACCATACAAAGACTGCAAAATGATGGCTTAATTATTCACGTTGCAGTATAATCCAAGTACTTATCATGATATCCCTTACAAACATGCTAGAACAATATGCTGCAAGGGTGTATGTGTTTTTACTGGCAGAAGTGTAAAATGAGACAACTTAAAAGACTGATAGTAGTCTCAAACTAAAATAATCCATCACAGGTATAATCGTCTTTGTGAAAATCTTACTCATGCCAAACTCTCTGTACCTCTTGAAGCAGACAGGACAAAACCTAAACGACTACTATTTCTTTTCCACAAGTACAAAATAACCATAACAGTCTAAACCACGGGTGTCAAACTCACTGCATCGGGTGACATTTCATGACACTTTTCCCCTACATGGAGATGGTGTGGGTATGACGTATCTAGCCCATGGGCAACTAGTTTGACAACCGTGGACCAGTGGTGGGATTCATTTTTTTTTTACTACCGGTTCTGTGGGTGTGGCTTGGTGGGTGTGGCAGGGGAAGGAAGATGTAAAATCTCCAGTCAGAGGTGGTATTTGCCAGTTCTCCGAACTACTCAAAATTTCCGCTACCGGTTCTCTAGAACTGGTCAGAACCTGCTGAATGCCACCTCTGTCGTGGACCATCACTCTACACAATGACTGTATCCTTCTTAATGCTTGGCATGATGAAGTTCTGGGGAGCTTAAAAGTTTACACTATTCATTGTTTTTTAATATTCATAAAGGTAATGCTCACCTGAGGATACAAAAACACGAGTCATTCTACAATCTCACAGCAGGTGGCAGAACTTAGTCAAAGTTGACTGATCTTCAAAAAGGAGGGCTGGGCCTAGTGAGTAGTAGAATGGAAGACTGCCTGGAAATCCCAGGCTTGGGGTGGAAGGTTAAAAAAACGCCCTGAAGAAACAAACAGCAAACTGCTTTTGTACCATTGCCAAGAAAGCTCTATGGGTGTGTTCATGAAGATATCAGGAGACATGTTTGAGTCTTTACCTTTTCTGAGTGTCTCAGAAGTAACAGGTCAATGGGGAAAAACAGTACAAGGTAAAAATGTATTTTATTTGGGACATTGTCCTAGTTGCTTTTGGAATATCTTGGCTTCAGTTTTTCATAAATAAATCATATTCATGCTAAATTGGAAACCAAATGGACATAGTCTATTAAGATGGTCAAGTTGATGCCTGCTGGGCTTATCTGGGAGGTTTTTGAGCTGTAGATCCCACGTAAGAGTCCTCTGTCACTATGGCTCTGTCATTTGTGGATTGGACTCCTGCCCCACTAGGCTAATAAAGGTGACCAGAAGAAAATTATATTATCAGGCTTTAATCAATGCCTTTTTGAGGGACAATGACATGCCATTAAAAAGACCTCCTCAAGTGGTTGTATCCAATAAAATGGGACAACCACTATCCTAAGTCTGTCTTTTGGGGGGAAGGTTAATCAATAAGTGATGAAGCTGTATGTGCAGAAAGCTCTGAAGGATAAATATAATCTGGTCACTTGGCAACCTGGGTTCAGGCCTGGCTATCATATGGAAACTGTATCGGTAACTTTCATGGGTGACCAGTAAAAGGTTTTGGATGTGAGTGGTTTAACCATCGTGTTCCTCCTAGATCACTCAGTGGCCCTCAATACTATCAATCACAGGTATCCTTCTGGACTACAAGAGTTAGAACAGCATTTCACTTCTACCTGAACAAATGAATTCAAATGATTATTGGAGGAAGGAAGTTTAATCCACAGATAACTTGTTATGGACCTCAGGATTCAGTCATTTTTGTTATTCTGGTATATGTGAAACCACCGGGAGAGGTCATTGGCTGGTTTGAGGTACCATCAATATGTAGATGACATCCAAACATGCATTTCTATCCTAGGCCCATTGTGAAATATAGTAGAAATCGCAAGTGTTAGGAGACTTTCAGGGTGGGGATGGGGAAAAACAGTCTCAATCTGAACAAAATGGAATGGCTGTTGACTCAGAGTCTGATTCCAAAACTACACTATGCTTAATTCTTAATGGGATTGTGCTTCTCCACAAAAAAAGCAGACTCACAATCTGAAAGTCTTCCAGCACTCACTCTTGCTCATAGAAGAGAAGGCAATTGCACCCAGAATGCCTTTTGCAGTTTTGTATGGTATACCAGTTGTGGCCTTATCTATAATAGGATACCTTATCAACTCTAGATTGCTGTAACACACTCCACATGAGGCTGCCCAACACCTGGAAACTTCAGATAGTCCAGAACAGGGGGCAGTGGTCAGTCATAATATGGCCATATTACATCCCTCGTGCAGAAGATGCCTGGTTACCAAGAGGTTTGTAAAGGTAGTTCAAATTGCTTTGTAAGAAATTAGATCAGTACCTATAAAGCCCTATATGGCTCAGGGTCTTGGTAACTTAGAAACCACAATTTCCTTATAGTTTTTGCTCTATACTTGAAAAGTTAGAGAACAACTGCTAAAAGTCCCCATCAATTGGGGGGAGGGGGGGCACAGTTGCAGGCATTTGTTATAGCAGCTTACAATAGCTTGCCCTGAGGTAAAGGATGGCCCTTTAGCCTTCCAGAAGCAGGTGAACATATGGCTGTTGTGGCAGGCTTTAGGGAATTAATTATATGCAGCAGTGCCAAATTCAATACATTTTAGCTTTTTATTTTTAGTGTTAATTTAAAATGTGATTTAATTAGATTACTGCTTTAATTATACTGACTTTACTGCATTTTATAAGTAAACTCTGCATACTGCCTTTAGAGTCCTTTTGGTTTTAGGCAGTAGGCAAATCTCATTATTAAATTAAAAAAACCATTCATATATGCAAAGATTAAATGAAAAACAATTAAGCCAAAAGAAATTTTGAGTAAAAAAAAGCCTTTTTAGTAGTTAACAGAATAACAGTTGGAAGGGACCTGGGAGGTCTTCTAGTCCAACCCCCTGCTCAAGCAAAACCTATACCATTTCAGACAAACGGTTATGTAGTCTCTTCTTAAAAGCCTCCAGTGATGGAGCACCCACTACCCCTGAAGGCAAGCTTTTCCACTGGTTAATTGTTCTCGCAGTTAGAAAGATTCTCCTTAATTCCAGGTTGCTTCTCTCTTTGATCAGTTTCCATCCGTTGTTTCTTGTCTTGCCTTCTGGTGCTTTGGAAAATAGCTTGATCCCCACTTCTTTGTGGCAGCCTATCACATATTGGAACATGGTCTCATGCAAAACCCCTAGTCCTTCTTTTCACTAGACTAGTCATAACCAATTCTTGCAACCACTCATGTGTTTTAGTCTCCAGGCTCCTAATCATCTTTGTTGCTCCTCTTTGCACTTTTTCCAGACTCTCAATATCCTTTTTTTAATAATGTGGTGACCAAAAGTGGATCCAGTATTCTAGGTGTGGTCTTACTAAGGCTTTATAGAGTGGTATTCGTACCTCACTTGATCGTATCCGGTTAATGTAATTTAGGATTGCATTGGCTTTTTTTGGCTGCTGCCACACACTGCTGGCTTATATTTAAGTGACTGTCCACTAGGACTTCAAGATCCCTCTCATAGTTACTGCTTTTGAGCAAGGTTTCACCTACTGTCTACCTATATATTTGGTTTTTCTTACGCTGAATTTTCTCTACGCTGAATTTAATTTTGCTGTATAGGGCCCAATGCTCAAGTCTGTTAAGATCCATCTGGATCTTGAGCCTATCATCTGGGGTGTTGGTTATTCCTGCCAGTTTAATGCTGTCTGCAAATAATATTGAATCCAAACAAAATGGATTCATCACCTTTGATCTTGAAACTTGAATCCAAATAAAGTGGATTCATTAAGTTTTGTTGATAGGTAGATCTGTCACTGATAATTACCTAGACTGAGGTTTTTTTGTATGGAATTGTTCTTTTGAAATGAGTTCTACACATTTCATCAGATAACCTTACATATACAAGGCATAACAAACACCACAAAAACAATCTGTTCAGAGTAGATACTAAAAATTTAATACTGTAAGGTTCACCTTCCAGGAAATCCTGGTAATATTAGCAAAAATATACATTCAGGCTCATTGCCACTTGGAACCCTTAAGGCTTTTCCCCACCTGCATCTACCAAAAAACAACCTCGCAAGATTTTTCTGCCGCATCTCCACAACACTTTCATTTCATTGCATGAGACAAGCTTAAACCATACTTAGCTACTAAAACAGTACTATAGCTTCTGACATCATCCAAGGATATTCTTGTTCTTGAAATATATAAAATTAGTTAGGGGGCTGAGACACTGGCTGGGAACAGATGCAACTAGGAATAGCAATGGGAATCAAGAAATGTCAGGGGAGTACTGGATAATTTGTTTTTTTGCCAATCTAAGAATAAGTGAAGAACACTACCGTATTAAGTCTGTAGAGATTTTCAGTCATCCAGGTCATGGTTGTCCCAAAGCTACTTTTTCAGGAGGTAACTGGACTTTCTTGGTTTTTCTTTTGAAGACATTTTGCTTCTCGTTCAAAGAGCTTCTTCAGCTCTGAACTAAAGCAGCTTCTTGGATGAGAAGCAAAACATCTTCAAAAGAAAAAAACCCAAGAAAGTCCAGTTGCCTCCTGAAAAAGCACATTTGGGACTACCTATTAACAGATGTGGCCCTTAGTAACAACCAGCCATGTGGACAGGAGACACATTTTCAATGTCTGCTCCCCCTCAGGAATATGTGTGTGTTGTTTTGACACAAATTACTACTCCTGGTGGGCTATTTTAGGTTGACCCAATTTAACAGAATAAGAGAGTTGGAAGGGAACTTGTAGGTCATCTAGTCCAACCCCCACCCCACCCCCAAAGCAGGAGACCCTACACTATTTCTAATTTCTCAGAACGGTTTTGATATCAGGAGTTAATTACAGCTTTATAGTGCATGGTGGGCTTTCTTGACCCATTACTAACACCATTTTTCTTTCCGCCAGAGGGACACTTTTGAAAGTGGTATATGATTTTCTTTTCGGTAAAATCCGTGAGAAATTAAAAAGACCCGTGGCGCCGAGGGAGATACGCATTCTAATTTCGCTTTCCAACAGCCTAGACCTGCAACTGCTGAAAGCGCCGAGAAGCGCTTTCTTCCATCTAGTACTTCAACGAAATTTGTAGAAGACGACGACCAGCCAGGATGCGTCGGAGGGACAACGAGAACTCACCATCTTAAATTACCCGAAATGCTCTACCCGCCCTAGAAGCGTGTGGTATTTTGGGTAGCTTAAGATGGCGGGCGAGAGGGCTGTTTAAAAATGGTGGTGAGCCCCCCCGCCCCCCCCCCCCCCCCCCAGCCTCAGAAGCCTTTTCGCTTGTGAGGCGAGTGTGTACGAGGGGAGCCACCGATCGGCGTTTGTTCAGTTCAGAGACTCAAAGATTTATAACCTCATCCATCTAAAGCCGCCCCGGGGAATGGCTCCGAACGCCTGGTTTGGAACTGGCGTTAAAAGCTCCGGGAGTTCTCAACCCGGTCCCGGCGTTCTTGAACCTTAGGGCAGGCTTGTCGACGGGCAGATGATCCTCGCCAACTGCTAGGATGTAGGGGAATGTCCGCGGCTCGAAAGCTCGTTGAGTTCGCTCAGAGCCTTTCGCTCAAAAGACCCTCGCGGGGCTCCCTTTGCGCGCTACTCAAGCTGCGGAAGCGAAATAAAGTATATCTGGGGTTTTGGGTTTTTTTTTTGCAAACGCCAGGATTTCTGTGCCATCTGCAGCAAAAGCTCTAGTGCCGCTCTATGCTACCAGGCCCCTCTGTAAGTCCAGCAACGCGCAGAAAGTGAAGAACTGCAAAGATTTGCGGGAGGGGATGTGTGGGGGTGTATGCATATGGGTATTGGGAATTGGATGAAAAATGTCCAAGTTATGAAAGAAATCTCTTGAGGTTCACATATAGCTGAAAATATTTATGCAATAATCGCCCTCATTTGGTGTAAGTGCTGGAGACGCTAAAGTCTTCCAGATTTTAACGTAGGGGCGAATCTCACTACTGTAATTCAGCTCACTGGAGATGTGGATGAAAGCCTTGCCATTTTGAGCAGGTCTTTAAAGGACAGATACCTTACGCATGATTATAATCAAATCTTTCCAGAAATATATTTTGCTGCTTTTCTTCTGAATGAAAACCGTTCAAAGGATATTTTCAGCAGCGTTTTGGTGTTTTTCTAAGCAAACGGGAGAAAATCCTGGAACAAGCAATTACTATATTCTGGCTGCATTCCTTTGCAAGAAAGCATTATGTTTGCTGCCCCTGCAGCATTTGACATAGCTGTAGCCGTGATCCAGGTGCCTGGCACAGATGGACTAAGTAATTTGACAGAAATCGGCCTCATGATGGTGGTTAGCAAAGCTAGTTAATTGTTCAAGACTGATCAGTTGCTTATTCCCTGCTTACCTAGCCATCCACCATGTTCACATAAATTTTTTTCAGAAGGAATGGGCATAGCAGCCACACATAACAAAGAGGAGCCAAATACGTTTGGTTGAATTTGTATTCATTCTTTCATATTTTGTTTGTGATTCAGGTACCCCTTTTCTGTGTTTAAATGACACCTATCTGGGTGTGTAATACATTATTACTGAAGCAAAAATTACGGCATATTGTACTATTTCACTGCTTTGAGTCTCGTTTATTTCTGGTCTAATGAATTGTGGGAAATGTAGTCTTTCTGTGTACAGGAAGTGAATATATACGTATTCGCTTGATAGACTAGGGGGTGTCGGGATCCGTAGTAAACTCTTGGGTGTGGTGCATGTTGGGATCTGCAGTCATTTTGGAGGGAGGGCTTGCTGCAGAAAGATCTTCCCTCCTCCGGTTGTTCCCGGTGTGGGGAGGAGCCTGGTCGGTGAGTGGTTAGAAAAGGGGAGATGAAGTGGGTTTTGTTTTTTGCTGCTTTTGCCAGATAACTAAATTGTCAGGAAGAACTGATTGAGAGGAAAATGCATTTCCCACCTTTTTCTTTTTCTTATGTGATTGGCTTCAGTTTGCCCCCCTCCCCCGCGTCCAAACTATTCATTTTATCTGGGTTTAGGTAAGGCATTTTTCAGTTAATCATATTACTCTTTCCATCCTCAGAGGTTGGGCCAGCCTATGTATGGTATTACTTTCACTGTATGTGGGGTGATTTTATTGTCTTAACTGCAAGCCTTGTGTCAGCTTTCAGAGAGGGGGGAGAAACAAATAGGATGGCAGCAGACCTCTGTGATTTAGGTCACAGCCATTGGGGCCTGGTGATGCAGATACTGATCACTCTTGTCCATTTTGTGCCCCTTTCCTGACTTGCTTTCCATTGGTGCCCTTGCCCCAAGTAAGGAGTTGAAGACAGCAGCAGTCCTTTCAAAATAAGCTTCGGTTTGCTCTAGTTTTTCATCCCTAGAATGAAATACCTGAGCATGCTGCTGCAACCAGGAACATGTTGATAGTGAAGAGAAAGATAATGCATAATTGGAGCAGGAAAGCACAGAACAGCAATGGCAATCTTGGGCCTTTGCACAGCTGTCTATACATGATTTTCATTTCTGCCAGACCTGCTTCCATTAATTCATTTGCTTTACTCTGGGTCCCGGTGAAATTTATATTCAAAACTCTGGAATGCTATGAAGTTTCTCTAGGCATTTTGTAAAATGCTGAAGCAATTACTTCTCTTGATAGGAGGATACTTGCCTAGGCACAAAGATGCCAATCATGCCTTTGCAAATCATGCCCCAGTAATTTATCCCTCATCAAACATTTTTATTTCCAAGAATGTCTCTTTCAGGAAGACTTTCAATGCAGCACTGTCATTGCACCAACTGAGAGCTGTCAATGGAAAAATGTTTTCAGCTCTTCATATAACTTCCAGCAAAGAGATTCCTTTGGGTACATTGGGTATGCAATTGATGGAAATTTAACATCTGATTTTCAGTCTCCATGTGCAACTTGGATGTTTACCATAAAAAAAAAAAGCACCCTTCCCCCTTACTATTTCATTGCAGTGCTGTTTTATCTAGACCCGGATGTATGATAAATCTACCGGTAGTAATGTACAGTAACATTGGGAGAACTGTTACATAAGTTCTGAGAGGGTGGAGTTTGTGGTATTTGAGCAGAAAAGAAAAAAAAATGCCTTTTGGGCCTGTCAGTGGAACTGGTTGGACCAGTCAGCAATCTTCTTGACCTGTTGACATTTCCTGATTGTATTTCCTCAATCCTTCTGGAAGAGTTCAGCTTTGCCACCTGTTGCATTCTGTTAATAAAGTTTCTTCCCTGAAGTTCCAACAAGATATGATTCTGGAGCGATCAAACAGGTCTGTCAGGGGGTATTAATTTCTACTCAGTATAATGAAAAGAAATGGGGATATTTCCTAGTGGTAGGAGAAGTATTAAAGTTTTCTGAAAGAAACATGTAGAAACTTTGGTGGTGACTGCTGGCCACTGCTCTTTCAGGAACTTACTCATTGATAAGGAGAAGAAAATTGCATTGAAAAAATTGCTGGAGGTGAAGGGATGTGTGTTACATAACTTCAGCCCACTACCTTTTATATTCCCATTTGCCACCTTCTAGCACCATTTTGTTTGGGGTTGAAATTTCACTTTTAATTAGTTTAGCGGCAAAGGTTTAACTGATTATTATGAGTTTATTTTAATTGTTGAGAACAAATTCTGTGAGTTGGGATCACTTTGTAAGTATACCGCTCTTTGTGTTTTGGTCTTATGTTTAGCTTTAAAGATATCATTATCTTCAAGCAGCGTAGGATAATTTTGTGTGTGAACAGCCTCTGTGGCAAAGGATTTGGACTTAACTTGGATAAAACTTAATGAATGGCCTTGGTCAAGTCATATCGTTTATCCTGACCTACCTCATGGGGGTGTTTTTTGCTAATAATATGGAAGATGGTACTAATGCTATCCTGACCACCTTGGAAGAAAGGCAAATTAATAGATTGTAAGCTATTTTATTTTAACAAAACACATTTAATAAGGTTTTAAATCTACACTGTGTTAACCAATTCATGATTAAAGAGAAATCCATTAACCACAAAAAATGCCTTAATCATTTGGCAGTTCTGCTTTCTATGTGTCAGTTTCTCATATGCAATTTCCTCCAGCTCCATCAGGTATCCAAGTCATGTATTTCTTGGAAGGATCATAGCCTATTTAGTCTTGTTTCCTGTTCCACTGCAGAATTTCTCAGTTAGTTGTCTGATATTTCTGTTATACTGTTGCAGCTGTTTCTATCTTCCTTGTTTTTTTCCTTGTCCTTCTCCCATAGACATGGACAATTACCACAGTACTCAATTGGTGTGTTCATTATCCCTATCCTTTCATGTTTTCTTTCTAAGGTTCCCAGGAACCTCAGGCTGATGCCCATCTCAGCTCGTCCACGCCTGCAATGGGATGATACTCTGAATCCTTTGAGGATTAGTGTGGGCAGTCTTCCAGTGCTGGCGTCCATGACCAAGGCAGCTGACCCCCGTTTCCGCCTGCGTTGGAAGGCCATTGTGGTGACCACTCTGGCCCTTGTCGTAGTGTTGCTTCTCCTTTGTTTCCAGCGTTCATCCCCTGTGAACAGGGCAGTTCCTCCCAATGCTCATACCTGGAGGCTTAATGTTCTACCCAGTGAGAGATATAATGACACTTACCCACTGTCACCACCCCAGCGGATCCCAGAAGGTGTGCGGTACCGAATTGGACTCATTGCTGACCTTGACACAAACTCCAAGGGTCCCAGTGAGCACACCTGGTTCAGCTACTTGAAGAAGGGTTATCTCACATTGTCAGCCAGTGGGGACCATGTCTCTGTTGAGTGGGATACGAAGGACCATATATTGGAATCTCACCTAGCGGAAAAAGGACGTGGCATGGAGCTTTCTGAACTGGTAGTCTTTAATGGTAAACTCTATGCCGTGGATGATCGAACAGGTGTGGTCTACCAGATTGATGACACCAGGGTAGTACCTTGGGTGATATTATCTGATGGAGATGGCACAATTGACAAAGGTGAGCTCAGGTTTAAGTTCTAGGTTTTATATTGGAAGGTTCCCTAACCTTCATGTAGTTCCTCAGTTTCTTAATGCCACCAAAAACCTTTAAGAATTCTCTAAGTACCATGCCTTCTTTTATCGAATTTACTAACAAACATTCTGTCACCTTGTCTAGTAGAGGTGAAACTTCTTTAGAGGTAAAAGAAACATTTATTTTAAAATTAGTCTGCCTTTTGGCCTAAAATCAACCCACCCCCCAATCTTCAAAATTTTTAAAAATGAAATATACTATAAAAGCAAGGGAAAAAAAATAAGAATATAACATTTGAAGTGCTTTTGACTTGGAAGTTTTGGTTGTGCTTTTAATACATTAAAATAATATTGAAATGTTTATATTAAAGAATGTTATAGCACTGTTCATGCAGCTGTAATGCTTTTTCCATTATCAAGTTTGTTAAAATAATGGTCAGTGGGAACTTCCGTTTCCATTTTATATACATGCATGCACATCTCAATGGAAGAGTGTTATAGCATGTTATATTAAATTATTTAGCATGTCTTGTTTCTCCCATCTTTAATGATTCAGGGCAGTTTATAAAAATACTATTAAAACTGCAAAAAGAAAAAGATGGGACAGTTTTCCAATATTTTGATGTCTGTTGTAAAACATTGAAAGAATTATTGAGTTGCTGTAGATATGTTTTATAAATTATTACCTATGTCAAGATCATAACCCATATAAAAATCATGACAAAAAGACATGTTTTATCTGCAGAATATAATAATGTAAATCAGCAGTTCTCAAACATTTTGGTCTTAGGACCCTTTTATAGTTAGTCCCTGAGTTATAACTGTAACAGAGTCTGCCTATTATGGTTGTAAATCATAATGGTTGTAAATTGGATTGGTCACGTGACCAACTCAAGTTTATGACCTTTTTTACAGGAGTCATTAAGCGAATGCCATAGTTGTTAACTGAACTCATGGTTTGCTATGGGCTGGATTTGCTGAAAACCAGAAGTAAATGTCCATTTTCAGGAAAACCATTGTAAAACCTGGTCATGTGACTGCAGAATGCTACAAATGGCCATAAAATGGCCCAAAGTGCAGCCATATGACTACGGGGGGGGGGCGGGGGGGGGCAACTATCAGAATTTCAAATCTGGGTTGTAAGTACCCCACCAAGTAGGTCTGTCATAACTTTGAATGGTTGCTAAGTGACCGGTTGTAAGTGACCGGTTGTAAGTTGAAGTTTACTATAAATTCTTAAAAATAATTGAGGACACCAAAGAGTTTTGATTTAGGTAGTTTATATCTATTGCTATTTATACTGTGTTACAAATTAGAATTGAGAAATTTTAAAACAATTTATTTGATCCTGTGGGCCCCCGAAACGTCTGATATAAAGATTCAGAAACAGCAGCAGATAGTTAGCTACACTTGTAACTTGCATTGGAAGAACAAAGAGTTATTAATATCAGAGACTGTCTGGAAGCATCCGACAAATAAGAGACAGGCTGGTGGTAGGGGAGGCAAGTTTATGTTGAAGAAAATAATTCTTAAGGTAATTTGGTCAAATTGTCTCAAAGGTGCTTTTTCCAAAAGGCAACTGGACCTTCTTGGGGTTTTTTGTTTGAAAATGTTTCACTTCTCATCCAAGAAGCTTCTTCAGTTTTAAACGACTGATGGGGAAATGGAAAGATTCAGAAGCAAAATATTTTTGAAACAAAACAAAAAACAAAGCCCAGTTGCCTTTTGGAAAAAGTACCTTTGGGACAATCGTGACTGGGACGTTTGAGAATCTCCGTAGACATTTGGTCAATCTGTATTTTACTCCTGCTTTGAACAAAATCCTGAGAAGTTTTAATTTTTCTCTTAAAGATCAGACAGACCCTTTTCAACCTACTGGGGAAATTGGCGCCTGTCTTAAGGGACCTTTCTGGAGGGGTAGCCCCGATCGGATAAGTGTTGCCTTACTTACTTGTCTCACATTCTGTTCAGGATTTAAGGCAGAATGGTTGGCAGTGAAGGATGAGCACCTCTATGTGGGGGGCCTGGGCAAGGAATGGACCACAACTACAGGAGAGGTGCTCAATCAAAATCCAGAATGGGTGAAAGTCATTGGATACAAAGGTGACGTGGCTCACGAGAACTGGGTGGCCAATTACAATGCACTCCGGACTGCAGCTGGGATCAAATCTCCAGGTGAGCAATGCACTAGCTTCTGTTAACAGTATAATAAACCCGCCAACAGCTGAATACTTGCATAACTCTACTTCTGATACTTCCTTTCTTGTGAAATGGAGGCTTATACACACTTAATTGTTGGAATTAAAAAGTCAAAGAGGATTTGGATTTTTAAGGATGAAAAGTATGAGTGTCCTTAAGAGAAGGCGAGTATAATATCTGTTCTTATGCTGGCTATGATTTACCCAGATCAAGGCCTATAAAGTTTCTACCATCATTGTTTAATCTTGTAATATTATGGTTCTTCTTCCTTAGAACTTTGTCAGCTGGTGTTGTGTTGTTTTCCTGCTTGAACAGAGAGTTGCACTAGAAGACATATTTCTTTAGAAAATTTATATTGCCGCCTGCTCACGCATAGCGACTCAAGGTGGCTTACAAGGATATAAAAACACCATGTAAAAGAAATAAAAAGAAAAGGAATAATAATTCCCCCACACCCCAACCCTGGCAACAATACAGATTCGTACTAGAATGGGCTCCATCTAAGATCCCATTCTTCCCATTCTGCTTTTCTGTAAGTCTGTCTTGTTATACTTGAGGATATCGATCTTGGTTCTATATGCTTCCCAGGTTACTTGATCCACGAGTCTGCCTCTTGGAGTGAGAGACTGCAGCATTGGTTCTTCTTGCCTCGCCGTGCCAGCCATGGACGCTACAATGAGCAGGAGGATGAGCATCGGGGCACCAACTTGCTTCTTAGTTCCACACCAGACTTCACTGATATCTCTGTGAGCCATATTGGTGACATCATTCCCACCCACGGCTTCTCCTCCTTCAAGTTTGTCCCTGACACCGATGATCAGATCATTGTGGCGTTGAAATCTGAGGAGGATGCTGGACATGTGGCCACCTATATCACTGCCTTCATGCTGGATGGACGTTGCCTGTTACCCGAAACTCGCATTGGTTCCATCAAATATGAGGGTATTGAGTTTATCTAATTAAAAGATTTTATCGAATTGAAAGAAGTCATACTTTTAAGGAGGTCAGATGAACTGCTGAGAGGTGGCGTAAGTTCTATTCCCATTTATTACTCTGCTTTTGCTGCAGAGCATTATGGGATGTTGAAATGCTTCTCTTGGCATAGTTTTCGCCTCTGTAAAAACTACTTGGCACTTGTAGCTTTTTTCTGTGCTGACCCCTAGTGGTACAAAGCCTGTACAGCTTTTTTTTCTCTGTTCTATATAGCATCCTAGGACTTAGCCCACTCTCCTTTGTTCAATCAGGCTATTAATTTGGCAGAGCAAACCTGATGAATTGCCTTATTCTTCCATCCTCCCCTCCTGCCCCCTATCTATTCACATGTGCCTTTGCTGAGAAGAGAAAGTCTTCAAACCCAGTTATTCAGCAAAGATATTAGTCAAACATTTGGAAGGCTTCCCTTTGACTCTGGCTATCCCTGCAACAGTCATTTTAACCTTGTCTGCACAGATACCTCTTTTTGATAGGAAATTGCAGATGAGACTTTGGCCTCTAATCAGGGAAATTTGTGATAACAGCAGGAAAGGCGCTGATGCCACGATTTAGAACTTTTGGGAACAAAAGGCTCATCTTCGGTTCTGCCATTGTGTCTAAAGGCAAAGAGTTTCTTTTTGGTAATCTTAATATTGAGAAATACAGAGAGAGAAGATGAGACTTTTGTTCCAAAAAGTTCCAAGTTATGGCATCAGCATATATATATATATACACACATGACATAGTTTTCCATGATCCTTCAGTTTTTAAAAAATGCACTGTTTTCAGTGTTAGGAAACAAGATCTTATGAAAATATTGTAGCTGGAATCGGGTTCTAAAGTTATTCTAGCAGCAGAATTTTAAGTATTCATCGTTCCTCCTTTATGTGTAATAAAATGGGCAAGTGAGCTTACTTTGTTTCCAATGCCTTCCTCATTGTTGGTCATTTTCTGGAAGTCTTATTTCAATCCTAGCGTTCTGTCTTATTTTTCAGATAAATTATCAACAGCGTTTATATTTGAAAGTTACCTGAACTAACCTATGTTTTATCTATACTTACCTATATTTTTTAATTACCTGAAATGAAAAAAAAATATGTGTTGACAGTCATAATGTCCCAGCTTTTAAGCAGATAAGATAAAAATATATGTTTAAGAAACACAAATATTAAGGAACACCTGTGTAGGAAGACGAGCTACAGAAACTCCAAAGAAATGTAATGATTTTTTGGATATGCCAAAATGTATACATTTGAAGGCTGTGCCATAAATGTGTGTGTGAATATAAAGAAATGTGCTTTATACCAAACCATTGTGCTCATCGTGCTCAATATTCCCTATTCTAATTGGTAATTCCCTTTAGAGACTGACGCTAAACTAATTTGCATGCAAAATATGCGCCCTTACCGTTGAACGGCAGTTTCTCTTTCACAGACCATCATATAAAATCAGATGCAATTCTAATGGGAGATTTATGTAGATGTTTCCCAAACTCTTCCACCCAATACTTTTGGTTTGTATCTTAGAGCATAAACCATAAAGTGAAGCATACTTTACTTGGGTGTAATAGAAATAATGATTCCTTTTGAATAGTGTGTGAAATTCAGAAAGGCTGATCACTAGATGGTGCTACTGTACTTATTTGTGACATAGCCATAACATAAAAAGCTTTATCTGCTTCCCTTGAAAGGATCAGAACACTCTGGGGGCGTGGCTAGCATTTACATCAAATGTGTCAAGTCCAATCAGTGTTTGTGTGTGTTGGCATTTGTTGTTAGGTATATTTAAGACTTAGATCTATAAATGTAAAAGTCCAAAACATTCATAAATAATACATGAATTTGGACACACAAAGTCAGATTTTGATAACTGCCTCCCATTTTGTATTGAGAGTATTGCCTATAAAGTTGAATTGTTTTTTGTAATCTGCTAATAAGAGTCAAATTGGTTAAAATGATTACTTAGTAACAATTTAAGGATTTTTTTTTTCTTGGATGCCCAGGTATAATATTCAAATATGAGCTCATTAGCATCACTAGTTCTTTGTGTGGCATGTCTTTGTTATTAAGCGGTTGATAACAAGAAGCAAAAATAATGATTTGAATTTTAGTAGAAACTTTCTTGTGAGCAAAATGGCAGAATTTTGGAAAAACACAAAATATATTTCTGATTTCTAAGAGAAGGAGAAAAGATTTCATTCTTTTTCAAGCACTTCACAAAGGACCCTACATATTAGTTAATTTAAAACTGGCAGAAATACTGTTTAATTGTTAAACATCCTCACCTCTGTGCAAATTAGCAAATTAAAGTCTAATTTGGATGTCGTGGTAATTTTTTTCTTTCTTTTTTTTGCTTTGAGGCTGGCTGCCTCTTTGCCCCATGGATGTTTGACTTCTGCTGAATTAGCCAGCCCAAACGCAGTCAAGACAGCTAATCTACAAGATAGACTTCTGATTAAGCTCCTGAGCCATTGATTTAATCCCATCCTTGTATGTCCAAAATTATATTCTATGCGATTTTGCTCAAAATTTTTAAATTTAAGTTCAGGGTTATTTAAGGAAGTTCCAAATTCAGTAATCCGATTTTTCACATGGCTGTACCCTCTTTGTATGAATTTACCAGGTTCCTTCCTCTTATGATCTCTTTACTCTGTTGCCCTCTAGATTTATTAAACCATCTCCCATGAGCTTTATATGGCATGACTAATGGTAGTGTTGGCTTGGAAATCATTGATAATAGAGGGGAAAAGTCTGGGAAAAGTTACTCCCTCTACTGTAGCAGCATTTTCCTCTCTCTGTAAATAACCTTATATCCCCCGATACAGCATTGCATTCTCTATGGAAGTTTTATTTTTAAAAGACGATTTTTTTTAAAAAAAAGATAGAAGTAGAGAATAACCAAGTATCCTAAGAGAAAAGGTTTTTTTAAAATTTTGTTAATCAGATTTATTGCAAGGGGAAAGATTACAATGCAGATTATTGTGAATAGGATTATATATGTACTTTGGTCCTGCCTTTTACAGGTAGTACTTGACTTTCAACAGTTCATTTAGTTACAACAGCACCGAAAAAAATTGACATATGTTGCATTGCAGCATCCCCATCTCTCATGTGATCAAAATTCGGACGCTTGGCAGCTGGCTCATATTTATGATGGTTGCAGTGTCCGGGGTCCTGTGATCACCTTTTGCAACCTTCTGACAAGCAAAGCCAATGGGGAAGCCGGGTGCATTTAACTGGGTTACTAACTTATCAGCTGCAGTGGTTCACTTAACAACTGTGGCAAGAAAGGTCATAAAATGGGGCAAAACTCACTTAAATGATTCACTTAGCAACAGAAATTTTGGGCTCAAATGTGGTCTTAAGTTGAGGACTACTTGTATCATTGTGTGTGCTGAGGTGGGCCTTTCTTTAATGCCTTTGATCTCCACCTCTCTCTTGTTTTACCGGGGGATTGGCTAACCATTTAGGTATATGAACAGGATGTGTTGGTTCCTGTTTTCAGTATTTTGCAATATCCTAGGTTCAGACAGCATGGTTGAAGATGGGATACCTATTGACAGATAGCAGAAGCAGTCTGAACCTTCCCAATCCTGCCTTTCTTTCGGCCTTGCTTCCCATTTATCTTGGTATAGTTTCTGGTTATAGGTTATGTAGTACTTTTCTACCTTTATGGAAGAAAGAAGTATCTTATCCTAATTTCTTACCCTTGAGATTAGCTTGTAAAGAAATGCACCTGTCTCAGAATCTGAGTAATTTACCCATATATGGCATGGCATGATAATGATAAGACAGAAAATATAGTGAACTCTAGCATCACTCCTGGTCTTGGTAACTCTGAGGCATGTAGCTAGTTTTTATTTTATTTTATTTATATTATATTTTAATACACACACACACACACACAGAGCACATTGCTGAAAAAGGAAGAAAAAAAGAACCCAACGTGAATAAAGGGCATTTATAAACTTTATATGACTAGGTTATATTTTTCAGTGTCGAATTAGTTTTAAGTAATTGAATATATTATTTTTAAAACTCCAGATCATTATTAAGATCCAAATAATGTATAAATATCAATGGCAATCAGCAGAATATAGATCATAAAATAAATTAGGAATTGTAATAACGTCAGCTTGAGCAGTTGAAGATCTATTTGAAGATTAAAATATTAAGACTTTATGTTAAGAGAAAACTAAATCTGGATATACTGTAATATAAGCCTCTATATAGAATTACAGTTTAAAAATGATTTCCAATTTGAATTTAATTCAGTGTCAAATTTACTTTTAAGATAGGATGTTACTTTGGATACTGAAGCAGACTCCCACAATTTAATTAGCATTCTTCCGCAGAAGACAGTGTACATATTTTGCGTAAAGAGTCATAAGGTATTCTTGTAATAGTTATTTATATGGAAAAATAATTAAGAATACTTCATGGGAATATAACTATTAGTAATTATAACTATAAGTAATTATTTACTTTTTTAAAAATAACAAATTTAAGAGAAAAATTAGCTTTTAATTTTGTCATTCTGTTGTAATTTTCTTAAAATTGTTAGACTTTACTAAATTGCAATATGGAAAATATGGAAAAATAAACAAATTTGATTGTTACATTTCCAACTTTTAGAAAATGAATTGTCTGTTTTAGCGACTAATACTGGAATAATAAACTCATGTAAAACCCACCAGTTTTCTTTAATATTTGGTGTTAATGTCATTCCACTATTAACATTTGTATTATTGCAAATTTATTGTTGTATATAAATTCTGAATCCATTTAACCATACAGTCTTTAATTTGTTCATTGTTCTGACTCATGTTTCATCGATAGTTTGTAAGGTCTAACAAATCTCTGAAAACCTATGTTAGGTTTTCATATTCAATCAAGTGTTCCACATTGTTTTTGGAAATAATTTTTAAACTATTGCTTATTTAAAATTCTAAAACTAGTAAAGTAGTTCCGGCCATTCTCAAAAAGATGTTATGTTTGCCTTATAAAAAATAAGATCTTGCAGTTTATCTCATTTGATACCTTTCCACTGAGCAATGCTTTGCTTTTTATAAAAATAAATATTTAATAACAAGGTGAGAGATGATAATTTTATTTTTTTCCTGAATTTATTCAAATTTTTTAAATAAGTTGCTAATTATTGCATAATGTCTTACAGATGTTTATTTCTGTTTCTATGTATATTCCAAAAATATTTGTGTAGACCATTTGAGAGTCTTGCTCCCTCAGTACAGGTGATATGATCCAAACAGTAATCCAGGTTAAACAACCAGTTTGATAATGTAGTTTAAAAGATTGCAGCTGCCAGGTTACCTTGTTCTTTCAAATCCTGTAGCATTGTAAAGTTAATCCTTGGTAATTTATGGAACTATACAAATTGTGTAACTTGCCTCTGACAATAATGTATTACTTTATTTTCAGTATTTATGAGAATCATTTAGAACAAAAAAATTAATCATTGGTAGAATATTCATTGTAATGGCTGTAATTCTTCCTAACCAAAGACAGTTTTACTTTCTCCATCTTAACTTATTAGTTGTTATATTTTTTCAGATGACCGAGTAATCATTTTTTAAAAGATACTATTTTTGTCAAATCATGCCTACATATAGGTAGTCCTCATTTAACGATTGACCTATTTATTGCTCATTTACAGTTTCAACAGTGATGAAAAAATAATTTTGTGACCAAAATTCCTTCCTCAGTTATATTTCATGACAACTGAGTTTTCTCCCTATTGATCTAATGTTTAGACCAAATATACTGCTGTTCATGTGTACTCTATTATCGAGTCTAAATACAGTATTTGTGGCTATTTCAGTTGAATTATTGTAAGTACATCATCATCAGTATATATTTTCAGTTTATATTTGTGGGTTGCTAATTTAATTCCAGAGCCTAATGCCAACAAAGATAAGCAGGCAAATTTCACTATAGTACATGATTGTGATAAAAACCATTTACTACTGTGTTTCTCCAACAATACGGCCTCCACCAATAGGAAGCCCCACCATGTTTTATTGGCATAAAATCAAATTAAGCCCCTCCACCCAAATTAAGGCCCATATTAAACATGCGAAATGGGGGGAATGGCGGGGGGGGGGGGCTTGCAGTTAGGAAGTGCTTTTGTTGCATGCCCGGATATGGTGCTGCCTGCGTTGGTGGGGCACTTCATATCGGGAGACCTTCCGCCACCATTGTTTTCCCTTCTCCCTTGCTGCCGCGGCGTTAGAGCAACGCCGTGGCGTTTGGTGCAGCCACGTGTGGCCAGCCAGGGCTCCTCCCTGCAACCGGAGCCCTGCGGAGACACTTGGTTTCAGGCACTCCCGTTGCCGCCTTCCCTTTGCCTTCGAAGGTAAAGCGAATTCTTTTAAAAACAACACCCTACTACAACAAAGCCTCCCCTGCCCGAGAGGGCAGACCAACACCACATGGGGAGGTGAATCTCCCAGAGCCGCAGCGCAGGATCTGCCCACCTCGGGAGAAGTGCCCAGCCGCCATCCCTGCCTGGCGCCGGGCAGAGCGCGAAGAGCTTCGCCTGGGGTGCTCAGCACAGCTGACAGGTGGGCCCTCCTGCCTGGCGGCAGAGCTCTCACCAAGGCAGTGAGTGCCTCCCCACCGGGCCCTCCGCTCATCCCACCAGGGCCGCACCGGAGCTGTGTGGGCTGGGCAGAGCTGGGAAAGCGAGCCGCGGGTGCGCGCCCGCCTGCCAAGCGAAAGAGCCGGGCTGACCCAAGCTTGGCTTCCTTCCCAAGTCCCTCCAGCCCAAACCCAAAGGGGCCACCGGGATAGGCCGCCCGAGGCAATGATAGCGCCCACCCATCCGTGGAGAGGGAGGCAAGGCGACGGCCTGCGCCGCTCTGGAGGGACTTGGGAAGGAAGCCAAGCTCAGGTCGGCCTGGTTCTTTTGTTTGGCAGGCGGGCGCGCACCCACAGCTTGCTTTCCTGGCACGGCTCTGGTGCGGCCCTGGCGGGATGAGCGGAGTGCAGCAGTGTGCAGCAGCCACCAAAAAAGCTAATGCAATCCTAAGTTGTATTAACAGAGGGACACAATCAGGATCAAGGGAAGTACTAATACCACTCTATAAAGCCTTAGTAAGACCATACCTAGAGTACTGCATCCAATTATGTTCACCACATTATAAAAAAGATGTTGAGGCTCTAGAAAAAGTACAGAGAAGACCAACCAGGATGATTAGGGGACTGGAGGCTAAAACATACAATGAACGGTTGCAGGAACTGGGCTTGGCTAGTCTAGTAAAGAGAAGGACTAGGGGAGACATGATAGCGGTCTTCCAATATTTGAGGGGCTGCCACAGGGAGGAAGGGGTCAAGCTAGTTTCTAAAGCGCCTGTTGGCCTGACAAGGAATAATGGATGGAAACTGAACAAGGAGAGATTTAACCTGGAAATAAGGAGAAACTTTCTGACAGTGAGAACAATCGACCAATGGAACAGCTTTCCCTCAGAAGTTGTGGGAGAGCCATCACTTGAGACTTTCAAGAAGAGATTGGACTGCCATTTGTCAGAAATGGTGTAGGGCCTCCCGCTTGGGCAGGGGGTTGGACTAGATGATCTACAAGGTCCCTTCCAACTGATTATCTGTATCTGTATGTATGTTTTTGTAACAAATCCAGTTGTTACAAATCTGTATAATGTATTAATTCAGTAAAGTCCATTTATTTATTTTCTTAGTAATGACATAAATGTTTGTAGTCTGCATTCAGTAAGGAAATAGATATGTATGCTTTAGTCCTGTGCCTTGGCAATTTTAAAACATGTGGACTTCAACTCCTAGAATTCCCCAGCCAATAGAACTTTACTCCAGAATTTTCTCCACGCAGTTTCAACTTCAACTCCCAGAATTCCCCCAGTCATGTGGTCCAAAGTTGTCAAGGCTGAGAAAATCCTGCTTTAGTCGTTTCTTTTTTTATAGAGCAAGATTAATTTTTTCCATGAGAAAATAAGTTCTTGACACTGTTGAATCTAACTGATTATTCAGGATAATA